AGTGACCTCAGCAGAATGACAGAAGTCTGCTCAGACTAATGGGGTGGCTCAAATGTATGCACAAGAGCACTGCTGTAAAAGCTTGAAACTTGAGAATCCTGACTCCTGCATACTTTGTCAACAAAACAAGTCCTGCATTTCTTATCCAAATTCTAGGTAGGGCTTACGTAATCCCACACTCAGAAGCATGTCAAGCTGCAGATGGAGAAATTAATTTTACCTGTGATGTTACAAAGGACTTGTGGTGTCTTGAGATGGTACGGCTGAGATGACATAGATAGGTCAGCTGTCAGCTGTAATGCATCAGTTTGAAACTCCACCTCCCAGATCTGTCTCCCTTTAGGATGAAAAAAAATACGCTGTACACGTGTTTCCATGAGTTTCACAGTACTGCCTGATCAGAGAAAGGCTTTGCTTTTACACAAAGCCACTGACTGAAGTGGACAATCAGATCTGCAAAACAGAAGATTCAGAGAAGGATTTAAGTAGAAGGGAAATTTATCTAAGTGTCATGCAGCTGGTACTCTTTTCACCACATCCATCTTGGTCTATTCTTTTCTGATCTGTACCACCAAACCTACATAAAACCAGAAATTATGCAGCATGTCTAAAGTTGTTTACCTAGACAGCTGTTTTGATTGCTCCATCACAATTAAGAAATAGTCTGCCATTAAGCTATAGTATCAGTTCAAGTTGAAATATTAACAATCTAGATTAGCTGTTTTTTTGTATTTTAGCATCAATACAACTGGTCAGCAAATGCACACTAGAGGACATTTGCATTGTTGAGGTGGTGAGTGCTAAAAGTAGTGGAGATAAAAGAGAAGATGGGGTCATCCCTATCTGAGGAATCAAATCTTTTTGGAAGGACAAGTTACTCCTGTAGACACATTGGACTCAGACCACTTTATGAGACCGGGGCTGCTAAAGACTCTCAGATCTTTGACATGTTAAAGTTCTCAACTTTCTAACTAATCTTCAACAGTGTTTTACTCATTTTGAGCCATTCAAATGTATATTTTACATTTCAAGGATCAAGATGATAAAGAAGGAGGTTGAGCACAATTTTTAACACAATGAACACTACAACAGTGACTGCACTTTGAATTAATTCTTTATTTTAAATCTTTATTTTCAGTTTGAAGTCAGCTCCAATTTGCAGTTTTCCAGCTTCTGCATCTCAACCAGAAGAAGCTGGGATTGGTGACACCTCTGTAGAGGCTTTCAACCTGAATAATGCTTACATACTTTACCATCAGTGGTAAAGTTATGAATTCAGTTATGAATTTGAACCACTGAGAGGATGACAAACACTACCTGATTATCAGTTACACTAAACTGTTACGTGGGACAGGAAAAGGGGTTTATATCTAACTGAGTACATCGGGGAAGTGCGTGGTGAACGAACTGACATTAGTGTCCCAATCCAGAACATAAAGGCTTATAATTTAGTATCCCATTTTATACCTGACACATGACCCATGTCCAATATCTGCATTCTGTCCGCCCTGGTAAAGGATGTCCATTCACAGCCTTCCATTAATGAAGAGGTCTCTCAAAAGTGTCTTCCAGAGATTAATCCAACTAGACAAGTCCTAAAAGAGCTGGAAAAATCACAATGTAGAATAAGAACATGTTTTTTTCCCTAAATTCAGCTCAAATTTTGCTTTGAGTGAACAATCTAAGTTACGGTTTATAGCAATAAAAGACCATTAATCAATGATTTAATTAATGTACAATTAATACTCTGGATTTTCAGTCATGGCACCAGCTAATCCAAACCTCTTGTATAAAGCACCACAACTGAAATAAGCTTCACCTCAAAGGAGTAATTTTTTTCTCTAGTTATGAACAGGATAGAAAATTCAACCATTTGCATTGTTACTCAGTTGTGTAATTGGATACTTGTTCAGCTCTTGATTCCTAGCTTGGAAAGAGAATTACAATTGCAGCATGCTCTCCTGGACTGGAGTAGTTGATTTCCCTTTTCTGTTCCACCCAAGAAACATACAATGTTCAATAGTTAGCCTTGGAAACCACTGACAAAGGGACAAATTGGAGGCATTTAGTTCCACCTCTGCGCTGACATTTTATGTAAGTATTTTTCTGCCCACTAACAGCTTTTCATTCCCAAGCTGATGTTCTCTCTTCCATCTCAGTAACCCTGTCGCTTAAATTTTTGAAGGGCCATTTTTATTCCTGTTAGATCTTCTGACATGTACTGCAGTTCTTACAGTATTTTTTCCCCTCCACTGATGTCACTAATGATATTTACATTTGTGTCATTTACTGATGTAGTCACTATTTCTCTTAAGGACTGTTGATGAAAGTAGTTACAGCTAATTTCTATTCCCAAGAAAGATACTTTGTTTTTCTGCAAAAGACCGATTTCCAACCCAAAAGGAAATCTTACGACTATTCAAGTATATGGGGGGAAGTGAAGGAAGGTTAGGGAGCAGGATCGTGCATTTCACAGCATTGTTTACCAGTTTATCTCTGCTCCTAAAAGAACTTTTACCGTATTTTAGCTGTGTGGGACAGATTAGCTGAAGGTCAATCATTTCCCTTCATCCAGAATTTAGCAGAGGGGTAAAAAAGGCATTACTCATGCTAATGCTGTGGATCTGAGTAACAGCAGATGGAAACAAGCAGCAAATTCTCACTCCAGAAAATATAAGCTGAGAAGCTACTGTCATTGCTAATGCTGCTAATTCCTGCACAGGGACAAAACTAGAAGTTAACTTGTGCTGAAATCAGAAGGTTTTGATTTTTAAGTATCTCAGTCAAGACAAAGGTATTCCTTACAGAGTCCAAATTATTCCTGCTTCAGCCCACTCAGCAATCGGTGACAGGCTCAGCATGGATTTTACTGAACAGCTTTCTCAAGGACCAGTTCAAATGATGATCATGGTCCATTACAAACTCTTAATTTCAAAACCAGGCCACTGCCACCAACTTAAACACTTCTTCTCAGTATGTGTACTTACGCTCCCAGACTTGCTCTTCCATCAAATTAAGGCAGGAAAGCCTATTACTTGACACACTGTTTATGACAAAAGTGTCCTGTAAGGCAGGAGTTGTGCCCTTTAATGACAGGATTATCTCGGCCTTGCTCTCTGCAACATAGAAGTGCTTTGTTCATGTACTCTTGGGGGGACAAATGAAAAACAGGCCTTCTTGTGGCTGAAAGATAAGGGGTGTTTGGGTGGTTCCCAAAATGGCTTATTTAAGCTTTCCAAATATCTAGTATGAGGAAAAGGCATCATGTTAATGGGAAAATTTACACAAACCAGTGTTTCACGACTTAGTTCAGAACATCCTGTTTTATTCTCTTAATTCTTTTGCACGCTTTCTGATATCACTCCTTTTAATCTCCTACTACCTCTGTCTCAGGTGAAAGCATTACACCTTTATGTCACTGACACAGGCTGAAGAAACCTTACTGAAAATAATGTTGTTCATGAGGCTCCTCCTGCCCTTCCACATTCCCACACATCCTTTCCATTTTCTTTCAGATGGTTTGGCTTACTTTGAATTACACACAGACTGAGCATCAGCATCACAGCTGATTTATGTTGGGCCTTAGACATAGAAGGAAACACTTCAAGATGCATCCCAACTGCTAGATTCATTCCGGGGGTCTTGAGGAGGTAAGTAACACCAGAAAGTCTTTCTTCATCCAGGATGAAATGCAGCAGCAGAGTACCTCCAAAAGCCTTGTTCTGTGCTTGCACCTAACTAGGGACATCTGAAGGAACTGGGGTTTTTAGTCTGAAGAAAAGGAGGCTGAGGGGCGACCTTATCGCTCTCTACAAGTGCCTGAAAGGAGGCTGGAGCAAGGTGGGGTCGGTTTCTTCTCCCAGGTTACAAGCAATAAAGGAAATGGCCTCAAGTTGCAGTAGGGGAGGTTTAGATGGGCTATTAGTAACAATTTCTTCACCAAGAGGGTTGCCAGGACACTGAAACTGCCAGGCCAGGGAAGTTGTGTCACTGGAATAGGTTGCCCAGGGAGGTTGTGGAAGCCCCTCGCTGGAGGTGTTCACGGCCAGGTTGGATGAGGCTTGTGCAGCCCGGTCTAGTGGGAGGTGTCCCTACTCACAGCAGGGACGTTGGAACCCGATCATCTTTAAGGTCCGTTCCAACCTTAATTATTCTATGGTTCAGTGGACTTGGGAGTGCTGGGTTAATGGCTGGACTCGATGATCTTAAAGGCCTTTTCCAACGAGAACAATTCCATGAGTCTACGACTCCTCTTTGTCCACAAGAGGATTTACCCCGCAAATCCCAGCCCCACACAGACAAGAGCTTGGAGGGCGGGGTCCCCGCGCAGAGGGTCCCAGGCTCGGCTGACCGCAAGGGTTGCGGTGCCCCCCGGGGCAGGACGCTGTCGGGGTCTGGCGAGCGGTTCCCGGAGCCGGTCCCTCCGCCGGGGAGGGGGCGCGTGGC